TGCTGAAAAAAGGCAGGTCAGGCTTGGAGCATGATCCATTTGGCAGTGCTGAGGGCATCGCATACCCTGGTCCTTACACCAGAATTACTGATGTTACTGTCCTATCCTGCTTCAGTCTTCAGGTCTGCCAAGCTAAATGGGCCTGGCAACGAGGAACCTGCCTCAAGGGGACTGTTCAGCTGAGAGAGCGGCTGAGACCTTGGGTACCTGTATGGAACTGGAGGCTGCCCCATGCAGTTCGTGTTACTTCCCTGAGCAGAGCGGTGCACTGGTGGTATTTATTGTAAGGTCACCCACTTGCCATGGCATCCTTCTGATTTTCAGGGTTTGTTTGGAACAGGCTGCCCAGGGGGGCTGTGGAGTCTCCTCCTCTGGAGATATTCAAACCCCGCCTGGACCATGTCCTGTGCACCCTGCTCTGGGTGAGCCTGCTTGAGCAGGGGGGTTGGGCTGGGTGATCTCCGGAGGGCCCTGCCAGCCCCTGCCACTCTGGGATTCTGGGATTCTGTGTTTGGGGACTGCCTCAGACAGGCTGTTGCAGACCACCTGTTAGACATCAAGCAGTGTCACCTTGTGCCAACGCTAACCACAGCTTTCAAAGATGGAATTCCACTCTCCCAAAACTACCCTCACTCTCTGTTCCTCTCTCTGTCCAGAACAGGGCAACCACAGATTTGGGGTGCCCAACAGAACAGCACTTGAGAACAGCGTCTTATTTGTGTTGGCTTCATGTGTACCTGTGCCTTTTCATTACAGCTTGCTGTAGCAGGGCTCTGCAGCATGCTCTGGAGTTATGGAGGTGGGATGGCTTCTTCTGGGAGTTCGAGTTCTCTCGCGCTGCCAACAAGGGAGGCTGGCACGTGTCCCTCAGCTTTGAGCATGCTTACTCCATGCTGCCATTTGCCCTCTTCACAGAAAGATTTCTGCTCTTTAAGGAGTCATGATCATTGTTGGTTTGGACTGTCCAGCTGTTTAAATTGTCCCTAGGTCTGATGGGTACCTCTGTTGGGTTGTCTGCTGTTGCTCTCCTTTCATGCCTGCCAGACTGGTCAGTGAAGATGGACTCTCCAGTCGATGCTACACCTGCATTTGACCCAAATGCGTATTTCTGCAGGTTTTTTCCCCCTTTTTTTTAGTGCTCCTTTACAAAGTCCAGTTGCCAGCTCTGGATTTGTTGCTGTAGGCAATCTGTTTGGCCTTTGCTGGCTGCGCACAGACTGCCTTCTGCCAAGAACTTCTGCCAAGTCATGGTAGAAAGAGCGTGCTGTCATCTGCCTGCTGGAAACTTGTGGCTGAGCTTGATGTTGACCACTCAGACTTTGTTGGGTCGGTTTCTCTTTGCTCCAGCTTCCCTCCGCTAGTGTGTGTTTTCTCGCCTTTCCCAGGAGAGCTCCCCGCCTCCAAATCCAGAGGCTCTGAAATTCCTGAGGGCATATTCTCGCTGTGGCCCTGGGATCAAGCCATGCAGATCGCTCTCCCCAAGGCCTGCCAGAATGAAAGCAGGGGCAGATGCTGAGGCTCCGGAGGCACTGGGTATTGAAACCAAGGTGAGTTGCACACTTAACGGCACGCTCCCAGGGTCTGCTGGCACTCATCCATCCCAGGGGTTCCTGGCATTTATCCATTGCTCCTGCTTTGAACTCTTCATGTGTTCTTCTAAAGCGTTGGGTCGGATGTGCTACGTGAACAGGGAGATCTGTAAATGCTGTTCCCAGCTGAAGGGAAGGAACAGGGCCTTGGTCGCTGGGGTGGCGAGATGGGAGTTCAAGAATTGCTGGTACTACCCTCTGGCTTCATCCGTGCTCATAGGTAAAGAGATCGTGAAGTTCCCTTTGAAAATCCCACCTCCTCGCAGTGTTCTCAAGCCTGTTCTTCCAAGGGCTTTGTGGGATTTGGAGACTGCTCCCACCATCATCAAAGGAACCGTGGTTTCTGGGCATTAGATAAAAATTTGGGAAACGGGTGTGCTTTTTAGTGAGGAGAGTTAAATCAGTGTTAACAATTAAACCTTTTAAGTCCTGTCTGGGAGGCCCTAAGCTGCTCTGTGACCCGTGCCTTCTTTCCTTGGCTAGTGGGGGGTTGGCAGTTTGTTGGTTCCCAGATGCCATGGAGCGACTCAGATGCCATGGGACATAAACTCCTAAGGAGGAAAACCAAGAAAAGAAAACCTTAAACTCAAACCCACCAGTCTTCTCCTCTGCCTCGCCCATCAGAGGAGCTGAGAGAGAGGGTGCTGTCCCTGGGGAAATGCCCCCAAGGACTAGCTAAGTTCCTACTCTGCTGGGGGCTCTGGTGCATTTACTGGTCTGGTGAGGGCCCGACCAGTTTTTCCCCCGACCTTCTACCTGCTCTGATGGGCTCAAAACACAGCAGTAGGAGCCACGTGGACTACATCAAGCCTGGTTCTTCCTGTCCTTCTGGCTTTGAGGGCATGGGGTTGGCTTGGGGACCTCAAAAAGATGGGTTTTAGGTTTTGCCTGGCTTTTGGTGCACCCCAGGGGTTTCTGGGACTTAGTCTGGCACTCGTTTCTTCTCAAAACATGGCCACAGCTCCTGCCTGTCTCTGCAACTCCTGAGATGGGATGGGCTGAGGGTACGCCCGTCCCGTTGTTGGAGCAATTCTGTAACTTGTGTGGGTGCCTCCTTGCTTTGTCTCTTGTGGGGACAAGGGCAGCTGCCTGTGTGTGTGCGCTGAGATGGCCCCTGCTGCCTCCCTCTCTTCTTCCAGATGCAGGTGGAGGGCAAAAGCATTGACTTCATTAAGCACAACGCCTGCAATGCCAAGCGGGCCCCGCTGCGGCGCTCCCAGTCCCTGCAGGCGCTGGCCGAGCTGCTGGAACAGAAGCACCGGGAGCAGGAGGAGTACAACGCCAAGCAAAAGGGCCACGTCCCTCAGTAGTACGTACAGCCCTGTCTGGTCCATGGGATGTTCTGCACCAAGCCCACTTCCCCTCGCCACGTCCCCCAGCTTCTGCCTAGAAAGACAGGGGCTGGGGACAGAGATGCTCTCACCATATGCATGTGGGATTTACTGTGGCCTGGGGCACAAATGCAGTCCCTCCTGGTTTCCTGACTTAACGAGCATCCTGTGGCCAGTGTGGCTGGGCTCAGAAAGAATTTTGTCTCCTTCTCCCTTGCATACTGTTGTACAATGCTGCTGATATGGGGTTGCTCTGTGTGCTCTGAAATGTTCTCCTGCCCCTTCGTAAGCCTTGTTCCGCATGATGTAGCTTTAGTATTAAAAGGTCTGGTTTTGGAGAGGGAGATAGTGTGCTCTGCCTTGTGAGCATTCATCCTGCCTTGGACCCCGAGTCTGAGGAACATCCAAGTAGTGACTTGTGTTTTGGGGTTCTGAGTGGGAACCGGTTCCGGGGTGACCCTGTGCATGGTGTCCGTCCTTTGGCTCTCTGCTGTGCCTGCTGTTCTCTGCCAGCGTCCCTGGCCGTGAACCGCTTTGTCCAACTTCATTCCACCACTGGCCCACAGTTGGTTTTGAGAGGACTCAGTGGCCTGGGCTAGAAGCAAGGAGTGGAAGCCCTTGTTTCCCAGGAGCTGGTGTTGGCCTCTCTGTCTCTTCAGCAGCCCTTCAGTGCACACAGACTGCGTTTGCTAGGCCATGCGTGCAGGCTAAACCCCGGTGTGTCCCTCCACGGCACAGATGTGTGCCAGCAGGGTGGGTCTCTGTGGTCCTCAGGCAGCAACATGGAGACGAGCGGGGTTGAAGGCCTTGATTTCTGGCCTCTGCCCGCATCCCTGGGCGACCCCTCCTGCCAGATGCAGTGATGCCCGTCTGCCTTTGCCTTGCCAGCCTGCTGGAGAGGAAGGAGCTGTGGCGCAGGCAGACGGAGGAGCGGCTGCGAAACCTGCCAGATCCTGACACCCCACCTGGTCATACCATGATGCCAGAGGGCCAGCGGCTGGAGACCCTCGGCAATCTGAAGCAGAGTAAGAGGAAAAGAAAGGGGGATTCCAGCTCAGAAAAACAGGCAATCCTAGCCAGGATTAGGGAGAAGAGAGTTCGGGGGCACAGATTGCTGCCACTTGGAGAGTTGCCTGGAATAAGCACGTGGCTGGGATGTGAGCTGTGTGTGTGAGAAGAGCAATCTCCTTCAGGTTGGTGGGACTTGCGGGTTACAGGACTGGCTCTCTGGAGCAGCTTGTCCAGCTGACCTGATGTTAGGGTTACTACTGCTCTTAAAATGATAGAAAGGTTTTGGTTGAAGGGACCGTCAGAGGCCTCCAGTCCAACCCTTGGTTCTTCAGAGCTGGAGAGGGTCACTCGGGTCCTCATCCAGCTCAGCTTTGAATAGGTGGATGGGTATTCCAAGTCCTTGCTCCAGTGCTGCCACCGTTTTCATGACCAAGAATGAGGTCATAGCTTTAGGAGAAGGATGGATTTCTTTGCTTTTCCACTTACACAATTTTTTTTTTGTTAACAGGCCAGGAGCAGCTGATAAAGGACCTGGTGATGCTGCCAGTGCGTGCAGACACCCTCAGCATGCAAAAGAGGCGGGTGGAGCTGGAGAGGAAGCTCTCCCAGATAGAAGAGGCCATCAACATTTTCTCAAGGCCCAAGGTCTTCATCAAGCTGGACTCATGAGCCAGTGGGGCTGGGTGTTGTGCTGCTCTGCAGGAACATCCCTCATGGCTGGAAAGAGACGATCATCACTTTGGGAGGGAAGGAGAGGAAGGCAAGTTCAGGATCCTGGGCCCACTCCGGTGCCAATACAGTGTCCAACATGCAACCGGCATCTCTTGGTCTCCCTCCAGTTCTGTGTCTTGTCCACAGAAAAGGGAGGGAGATGCCCTAATATACTCCGCAATCTGGAGAACAGTTGTCTCTGTGCTGCCTGGCTTCTCAGAGATCCGCTCTCTGCTCTGGATCCTTCTTTCTGCAGAAGCCTGAAGGGGCCGGGGAGGTTGGGTGTCACAGCACTGGGGTGCTGGGACGTGGTGGTGGACTCAGAGTGGAGAACGTATGGTGTCCAGACGGATCTTGGTCCGCAGGCCGGCAGGACAAGGCTGGGTGGATGCCATCATGGAGGAGAGCTCACTGCCTCCTTACCTTCAGATGCCACATAGGAGCCTTTGCAGAGAGCCTGCTGCATGAAGCACAGAAAGATTTAAGCTAGAAGGGATCGCTGGAGGGCTCGGTCCATCTTCAGCTTAGCACAGGGCCAGCTCTGCAGCTTGGGCCTTGTCCAGCTGAGTTAGGTAAATCTCCAAGGATGGGGTTGCCACCACCACCTCACCAGGGCTCTGTCCCCAGGCTGTGCCACCCTCAGGGGGAACACTTCTTGCCCTGAAGTCCCATCAAAATTTCACTTGTTGCAGCTTGTGCCCGTTGCCTGTCGCCTTTCGCTGCTCAGGGGGGTATGCTGTGCGTGGTTGCCCCAAGCAGGTGTCTTGTTGCATGGGGTTACTCCATCCTGGGCAGGATTTTCTGGGGTGGGGACGTTGCAGAGTCCAGCTCTGCCCACAGCACCCGGGGCTCTGCTAGCACCCTGGGAGGTCGGGGGCCAACGCTGCTGCCAAGGGCCCAGGAAGCTTTTAGGATTTGAGGGCTGGAGGAGGTGAGATCCCAACTGGAAAATCATCCCACGCTCCCCTGGGGCTGCCCTCGGGGCAAACACCACAGCCAGGCTGAGCTGGCTGGATCAAAATGGTGCTGAGAGCAGCTGGGGACCGCGGGCACCAGCCCCTGTGCACCTCCCTGCCCTGAACAAGTCTGGACTAACCAGCCCTGCTGTCTGCTCTGCGCTCTTGCCTGGCTGGGCCCCAGCTGCATGCCCTGAGCATCACCCCACTCAAGAGCCCAGGGCGGCCGGCCTCAGCCCTTGCTGCTCTTCCCACCGGCCCTCCCTCGTGCCTGCACCCAGCCCATGGGAGCCAGGCCAGCACCCAGCACCTCCTCCTCTTGCTTCCCACTGGGTTTAATCTGAGGCCTGTGAAAGAGCCCTTGTGCCATGAAGGGTCTGGCACCATGCTGGTGCCCTTGTTCCCCCTCCGCACCCATGGCCAGCTCGGGTGAACGTGCTGGAAAAGCACCACCCCTGGGTGCACCCTACTGCCCCCGGGTGCACCCTACCTGCCCGACCTTGTGCCTGGGGCACTTCCCCAGCACACGTGGCCGGTGGCCGTGGCGGGGGTAGAGGCATTGGCGCTGGCACTGAAGGTTGGTGCTGTGGGAGGTTTGGCAAGGGGGGGCGAAGGCCCAGGGGCTCAGCCAGCTGGGATCCAGCCAAGCCTGTTCCTAGCCGGGACGGGAGGAGGAGAAGCTGTCACCACTGTGCATCCAACAGGGCCTGGCAGCACCTTCCCCCTGGGGTGTTGCTTTGTCCCTCCCTGCGGGCAGGAAGGTGCTGGGCCGGGGCTGGGCCAGGCCAGCAGCAAAGCAAAGGCCAAAGCTGCCATCAGCCCAGCACGGCTGGGAGAGGGAGTGAGGGCGCTGGGAATCCCTGGTGAGCAGGAGGAGTGGGTACAGCCCCCCTGAGCTTGGGGCTGGGGAGGAGGACCGAGCTGCGCTGCCCCCAGCAGCGTTTACTGGGGCGGAGTGGCAGCCAGGGTGCCGCAGCCAGCCCAGGTGCCACCCAGCTCCTGGCAGATGTCACCGGGGTGTCCCCTGCATAGTGAGGGCACCTCAGTGGGGACAAGGTGGGAACCGGGGAGCCAGGCGGGGCTCGTTGCATTGGGCCACCGTGCCAGGGTCGCTGCCTGAACCAGCCTGGACGTGTGCCGTGGGACAGGGATGTGCAGGGGGAGGGACACGTCCCAGCCTCCCTCCGAATGCCCCCTCCTCCCTGCAATGGGCCTTGCTGGGGTCGCCCAGCGCAGCCGCAATGTGCGCCATGGTCAAGGGTGCCGCTCCCCACATGGGGCTGGGGTTCCTGCCTGCTGTCCCCCTCCTCCCAGGGGACCTGCAGAGCTGGTCACAGGGTTTGTGCTGGCCCACAGCTCATGGGACGGGGCAATGGGGCTGGGGGGGGACATGCCTGCCCCGTCCCATTGCACCAGGGCTGTTTGCTGTCCTGGAGGGGGCTGTGCCCTGTGGCTGTTGGGGTTCAGCCCCTGCAGTGATGTGAACCAGGGACAAGCAGGGTGCTTTCTAGAAAAGGTTTTACTGTCCATTGCAATATATTAATTGATGATGCATATTTCGATAAAACAATAAAAAAACCCCACTTGCTTG